CCCCCTGCCTTCAAATATTGGAAGGCTGCTCTCCTGCCTCCCCTGGTCCTTTTGTTCCTTAAAATCAGATTAAAGTCAGATGAACGAAGTTGGAAGGGACTTTGTAGGTCATCTAGTCCAACCCCCCCACCCTCAAATATTGGAAGGCTGCTCTCCTGCCTCCCCTGGTCCTTCTTCTCTTCCCTAGACTGGCCAGGCCCAGTTCCTGCAACCGTTCATTGTACGTTTTAGTCTCCAGTCTCCTAATCATCCTGGTTGCTCTTCTCTGTACTTTTTCTAGAGTCTCAACATCCTTTTTATAATGTGGTGACCAAAACTGGATGCAGGACTCTAGGTGCGGCCTTACTCAGGCTTTACACAGTGGGATTAGCACCCTCCCTTGATCTGGATTGTCTCCCTCTCTCTCTGTTAATGCAATTTAGGATTGCGTTGGCTTTTTTGGCGGCTGCCGCTGCACACGGCTGGCTCCTCTTGAGCTGGTTGCCCACTAAGACTCCGAGATCCCTTATTCCAGGAGTTCCCGCTATGGAGCCTGGTTTCTCCTCTAGGTCCATATGGGTCCTTTGGTGGTTTTCCTGCCTGAGTGTAGGGCTTCCCTTCTACCTTGAGTTTCATACGTGGGCTCCCCACCAGGTGAAGACCTGGGACGAATCCCGCGGGGTGGGCCGGATCAGTAAGCAGTGGAGCGGCCTCCTCAAGGAAGTCTTCACGGACACGGACAACTTTGGGATCCAGTTCCCCATCGACCTGGACGTGAAGGTGAAAGCCATCCTGCTGGGCGCCTGCTTCCTCATTGTGAGTCCGGAGTTGAGGAAAGGGGACGAGATCCGGGCGTGGTAGGGATCCCCCCCCCACCCCACCCCCCAAAAAACGAGGCCGCCTGGCACTTCACACTCTGGCAATTTCTCCTCTGACTCACTTAAAATTATTATTAATCTTTTGCAGGATTTTATGTTTTTCGAGAAGACCGGAGAAGTTGGACAGAGGACCTCGGTGATGTCCAGCTGAAACCGTCTCGAACTGGGGACAGTTTTCCTGGTCTGACCCGACAGAGAAGGAGAGAGAGAGAGAAAGTGTGTGGTTGCGTGTTGTTGTGTAGAGGGTATGTGTGTTTGGGTACGTTTGGGTCTTGACAGCAATGGGTTTCTCAGAAATGGTCTCTTCCTGGTCTTTTCTCCCTTGGTTGCGCAGATGTGTTTCAACAGAATAACAGAGTCGGAAGGTACCTCTGAGGTCATCTAGTCCAACCCCCAACCCCCCCCTCTTCCCAAGCAGGAGACCCTACACCATTTCCAACAGAGGGCAGTCCGGTCTCTTCTCAAAAAGCCTCCAGGGATGAAGCTCCCACAATTTCTAGTAACAGAATGACAACCCAGAGCTGGAAGGCACCCTGGAGGTCATCCAGTCCAGCCCCATACCGTTTTTTGACAGGACGCCCAGCTGGAAAGTGTTTCCAAGTATCCCAAAACCTGGGTCTCTTATCCTAGTTCCTTCGGCTCCCCAAAGCCGTTGTGGGCTTGCACTTCTGGCACAAAGCTTCCTTCAACTCTGTCCTTCCGCGCGCTGCCTCTTTGTCTGCCGTCTCCCGGCTGGGGATGATGGGACTTGAAGTCCAGCTCTCGAAAGGAGCGAAGAGGTTTGGGGAAGGCGTTGGGTTTTTAGGTGGTGGTCTGCTGTTGAAAAGAGTTTAAAGTTGTGGTTTTCAGGGAAGCTTTTCGGCCTAGAAGGTGGGGTGGGTGCTCAGCTTGATTTGGGGGTGCCTACTCGGGTTTTTGGGGTGCGGGGACCAAGGCCTGGTCCAAACAAAGATCGGTGGCTTATTGCGTAACCAAAGCTCTGCACATACGACGAGACAGTTTTTAACCTCCTAATCCTGAAGAATTCCGTTTCTCAACCTCAGCGAGTTTTTAAGGTATGCGGACTCCGGTTCCCATCCTTCCTCGGCCAGCGTGGGGGGAACTGGCCGTTCTGGGGCTTATGGGCTTAAAACTCCCAGAATCTGGGTTGCCTCCTTTGAGATTCTGCGGATCAAAGCCCCCAACTTCTTAAAGGCGCCGTGTTTGGAAAAACCAAATTGCTTTCTTCCTTGGATGTGGATTTAGTCATATGGGGGGGTGGGGGTGGGGGCTGAACCCCTCAGATTCTCCAGAGACCCCCGAGAGGTGGGGAGGGAACTGTGAAGAACTCTCCCCCCCCCCCCCCCGGTGGAGAGCTGTGTGCCAGGTGGATAATTCATTAAAGGATACTTAAAGGATAATAACAGGTAATCAAGGGTTGGAAGGGGCCTTAGAGGCCATCCAGTCCAACCCAAGCAGGAGACCCTACACCATTTCCGACCAATGGCGGTCCCATCTCCTTGAAAGTCTCATAAATATAGTTCTGTATTGGCCTCTGTGCCAATGCCCTTCCCACCCACCCCCCTAAAAAATAAATTCCCTGAAAAATTAGGACAGGAGAAAAGAAGAATCTTTGCTTGTTAAAAGGAAAAACAACAAAACAAAACAAGCCATCTTTGGTTTAACAAAGGCCCCATTGTGGGTCCCCAGAAACCAGAGGAGCCGCGTGGGGGCCTCTTTCAGCTTGGGAACTGGCACACCGGGAGGCACTTGTCTCAATGGCCGATTCATCGGTTTTATCCTGCTGGCACGGGGCATGGCGCCCTCCGGCGATAGGTTGGGCTGCCCTGGGAGGGATGGGCCTTGTAGTCCTATAAGGCCGGGGGCTCTGCAGCCTTAAAATACCCCAGAGAGCCACTTGGACCCACGTTTCCCACAGAAGGGGGAAAAAAAACCCAATAATTTTAACGACCGGTGTGACTGGGTGGGTGCGTCGCCAACTGGACTCCCTGCCGCCCAGTCACCACCTACTCTGGGACCACCCTCCCCCGTTACCTTCGGGGGAGGGGAGGGGGGCAGCTGGGGTGGCTTGGCCAACGGAGCCGCATGTTGCCGACCCGCCTTAAGCCGCGCAAGCAAGGGAGCGACTCGGACTGGGTGTGCGAAGTCTTTCGTCTGTGGGCTGTGTATGGTGCGCGTTTGTGGGTGCCGGCGTGGCACGGAGGACGTAACAGTGGATGCGCTGAACCAAATGTTTGCCTTTTTCCCCCCCGCTCCTCACTTTCCGGCGGCAAATTTTGTGGCTTCTTTGAGGCTCGGAACGGGGGGTTTTAATTCCCGTCTTGGCCAGGCGGGGGGTGTTTGCCGGTGCCACGTTGCCTAAACCACTAAACTTAACAAGACACCCCCCCCCATCTCCTTTTGAGGGCTGTTAGGGTCTCCCCGACATCAGCTCAGGGTTGGGGGGGGTCACGACGGGCAAATCCCCCCCTCCGCTTTCCTGCTCTTCCTCCTCCCCCCCCCTCTGAATTTCAATGTCTTGCATAATATTAACGCTGTTTTTCTGTCCTGTATTTAAATACCAAATGTTTTGGGGTGACTTTGTACCCCACAACTCATGGGGGGTGGGGGGGGGAAGGATCCGTAACGGGTGCAAAAAAACAAAAGCCAAGGTGGACTGTGGAAGTCGATGCTGGTTTGGGACAATTGCAGAGTTCGGGGTTCCTCCGATTTGGGCCGGTCTTCTCCGATCTGTGGCGAGGGGTGATGGGATTTGTAGTTCCCACCCCTCGTGTGTGGGGGGAAAGCTTGGATCTAAAGTCTGGGGGGGGGACGAATTGCCAACCCCCCCCCCCCCCCCCAATTTTGGGTCTCGCGGACGACGGAGCTTCTGCGTTTCCAAGCCGAACCAAATAAATATGTAACATTTGCTATTTTTGGTCGTCCTGTTTGATGGATTATTTTATTTTACTGCCTTCGTCACAGCGGGGAGAGTTCAGAGTTCGGGCACCAAACCTTAAAAAGCAGCCGTAAAAAAACAAAACTAAAAAAAGAACCCCTCAACTTGTAAGAGCTCGCTTAACGACCAAAGTTAGAGCATTGAAAAAATAACTTTTAAGATCACGTTTCACATTTATGTCCATTGCTGCATCATCAAAATTCAGAGGTCACCGTTTTTCACACTTAACGACTGGCTGCACCCCCATGGTCAAGTCATCGAAATTCAAATGCTTGGGAACCGACTTGTGTTTATGACAGTTGCAGCATGGGGGGTGGGGGGGGCGGTGTCATGTGATCCCCTTGCGACCGTCAGGCGGGCCAAGCCAGATTCACTGAACAGCCGTGTCCCAATTAGTGGTTCATTTAATGATGGTGGAAAGGAAGGCTGTAAAATGGGGCAGAAACATGTTTCACTTAGCGACAAGGAATTGGGGGGTGGGGTGGTTGATTGTGGTCATCCCTTAAAGAGGTACTGGACCAAATTCTTACCAAGGGAAAACAAGTGACGGGACGGGGTTGAAGCAGCCAGAACTTTTGGACACGAGTGACTGCATTATATAGAACAGATTAACAAGGGTCAGAAGGGACCCTGGAGGCCATCTAGTCCAACCCCCCTCTTCCCAAGCGGGAGACCCCGCACTGTTTCTGACACAGGGCAATCCAGCCTCTTCTTGAAAGCCTCCAGGGATGATGAAGCCCCCACAACTTCTGAGGGCAAATTCTGTCCCATTGAATATAGAATGACAGAGTTGGAAGGGACCTTGGAGGTCATCTAGTCCAACCCAATCTCTTTCCACTCTTCCTTCTGTCCTTCCCTTCCTCTTCCCTGCCCCTTTTCCCTCTCTGCTGCTTCTCTTCCCTGCTTCCTCATCCCTTCCTTCCTCCCTCTTCATCTCTTCCCCTCCCCCTTCCTCCGTCCCTCTTCTCCGTCTCTTCCCCCCCCCCCCCCCCTTCTTCCCTCCCCCCCTTCCTTCCTCTTCCTCCTCCTTCCAAAGACGCCCCGGGAGATGCCTTAACAGATGCCGGTTCCTTTTTATTATCTGCTGGTCCATATTCACACCAGAGAAACCCAGGAAGCCCCTTCCCTCCAACAGACACCCACCCCCCCGCTTTGGCCCGCTGCCCCCCACCCAAGGCGCATGGGCATTTGGTGAGGGGGGCAATCCCTCCCCCCTTCTGACCACCCCCCCAAAAATACAGCAAGCGTCTCCATTGGTGGGGGGACGGACCCCCCTAAATAGTTCCAGGCTAGCCGTGCTGGTAAACGAGGGAAACCTGCAGCTCCTTGGAGGAAGCCGGCGTCCCTCCTCCAAGAGGACTAGCAACCCTTGGTGCCCCGAGCTTCCAGAGGAGGGCTGCACCCGCAGGCTGCTCAACCGGAGCACTGTCTCTTGGGCCGGAGGGAGGAGGGGGCTGCCTGAGGGAGGGCCAGGCCAGGGGTGCTTTCCCGCCCCTCCGTGCCCCCCTCTCCCCGGGCCCTGCTCAGGTGCGGAGCCCCCGGCTGAGGACGTAGCGGGAGGCCATGGCCAGGTTCCAGCGGTGCTTCTCCAGGATGCGGCGGCATTCGTCCCACGAGAGGGAGCTCAGGTTGAAGAGCTGGTGGACCTGTGGGAGGGAGGGGGGGAGGGAGGGAGGGAGGGGAAGGAAAGAGGAAGGAAGGAAGGAAGAGGGGGGAGGAAAGGATGGAAAGAGGAAGGAAAAGGGAGGGAGAGAGGACATGGGAATGAGAAGGAAGGGAGAAGAGGGGGAGGGCGGTGG